AAAAAAAAACAGCAAAGGAGCTTACTCCATCATTTGAAGTTGCGGGTACACTTGAAACCAGCATAAAGTCGTCTCGACGTTGATCACTCATGCGCTCTTCGCTGTTCTAAACAAAACCTTGAGAAAACACAAAGATCAATTAATTTTGTTCTCAAATCTAACATATCGCGAGAAAGCTTAGCACTAGAAGAAATGGAGTGGACAAGTTAGTAAGCAGAACTTGGTGTGGGTACACGAGGGCAAAACTCCATCAACCTTGAGCTTCAACACTCTCCATTTATAATTTTTGTCGCAACTCAGGAAATGGTCCCAGACGTTGCTGCCTCGAACTCCATATTGCAGATTGTAGGCACAACGTTCTGCAACATATACTCAAATATGATTTTGAAAAATGACTTTTTCCAGAGAAAATTAACCAAGATATGGATGAAATGAAATCACCCTCATAAACGCAGTTTCTTGCGCTGGGAGGCCTACATCCGTAATACTCAAGGAAGTCCACCAAAAAAGCATGCGTATTGTAGCCTGGTGAGAAGAGCACCTGTAAGGGATACGATCTTCAAATGCGCTTAACATCTGTTTTTGAATAGTAAACAAAAGAGAGAACTCAAAAGCGATTTCGACAGCAGGGAAAGCCAGGCACGAAAATAAACATCAGTTCATTAAATGCCTCTTTCTGTATCGCAATTATGAATTTTTAGCGTCATGAAGTAGATTGCAAGCGAACTAACATTGTCCTTCCCAACTAAGTACTTGCTCAACATCCTTAGATGGAAATCGTAAGTGAACGAGTGCAGATGGCACTGTATCGAGATGAGATCTTTGAAATGTTGTAGTTCACGAATTTTCCGAACAGCATCACTGCAGGATTCCTCCTGAAGTGAAATTTTAAGAGAGATATATGCAAGGGAGGTAATTGGGTACATTTCCTGAACAACTTCTATGTAAATAAAAAGTAACCTACTCGGCCTACCGCTTCACACAAAGTTGTAGGATGCCATATGAAAGCTTTAAAGGCAAAGTATGGTTGTGCGAATTCTAGCGTTACCAAAAATATTCCTCCTAAAACGACAAACTAAGAAATACTATCACTTGCCTTCATCTGCGAAAGTAGGTTTATAAAGACGAACAAAATAAACGTACCTTTCATGGTCTTGTGCATTACTACATAGGGAGCATATTTACATCCCTGAGGGTAGATTGTTGTGTACATACAACGTTGTTCGCTCCTTAAAATCACTACTCAATTTCAAATCATCACTTTTGCTCAACGCCTTCTATGTACCTCCGTTCCAAATTAGTGACTTTCAGCACTTGCAAGCCAAGTGAGGTCAGATAATTGACATAATCACCCATAAGTAAGTACAAAATTTTTGCCTTAAACAGAAGATTTATGAAGACTCAGTCCAAAGATGATTTAATCTTGTATCATTACAAATGTTTTCATCATACCTGACAAGGGTCATCGTCCCCCACTTCTGATCTTATACGAAATGGAGCTGGTGCTGATGGGGTCACACTAAAAGGAGTGTAAGAGAATAAGACAGCGATTTTTAAAAAATCGACTCAGGTTCTCAGGAAGCAACCTCAACGTATTCGCTCTCTGACGAATGCCTGTCGTTGGTGGTGGTGCACCTACAGCAGCTTTTGCCTTTCTTGGATCAAGATCGACTAATCCTCGTGTCTAAAGGTTGTCATGACTTGAATCTATACTGGTAAGAGCGAGACCTCGCTTACCTGCCGAACGATCGCAATATTTCGTCTCCATTTAGGGAAAAATAGCACTGGGGTTTCCACAAAGTGTACCAATCTACTGGCTGAGCGCAGTTTCCCCAAATCGGATTCCTTTACGAGATAAGCCTATCTTGTAAGTTCGCAATTTTTAATGGAAAAAACCAGGACTTACCAGAAATCCTTTGTGAAAAAGTTAACACATATTACTTTTCAAAATATTTCACGGGGATGCTACACTTTTTAAAGGATATTGGGCTCACCGAAATTGTATCACTTTCGTCGAGTAAAGAGTTATGGATAGAAGTAAATGCTCGCGTCATATTCAACTGCTCTCGCACGTTCCGTCTTAAATTGATATAAGCTTATGATAGTGAAAAGAAGTAAGAGGGAAACTTTTTCAAAAGTAAGAGGAAATAACCTGATGTAGCGCATTTGCTCCAGTTGGTCTTGAATTAGACATGGAGATCGATTCATAAACAAATATGGGTGGTCTAAAATTTGTAGTACAATAATCGTGATTGAAAAAAGAATAAAACTCAAAGGTCATACATGCTCGACGATACAGACGGAATAAGCTCTCTGAATATCCTTTCGGCAATGCATCAATGGCTGTGACCTAAACAATTGCTTAAGCGGCATGTAGGTTGACAACCAGACAAGCGGTAAATTTGTTCTACAATTATACATTACCTGCAAATCATCTGGTGGGTAATCCTTATCCATTAGTTCTTCCGGATTTCGCCATACAAGTACAAGGTACGGATTTTCTGGAGGCGATTGAAAGTGCTGAACAAACGTTAAATTGGAACAAAAATACAGAAGTGGTTTGAAGCATGTAAGAATGTTCATTGGTAATTGGAAATGTCTACAGAAGATAATGCAGCCAATAGCGGTTTCGAAGCTTCAGAAAAACTTATTAACTTACCTCTAGCGGTGATAAATGAGTGATTCCCATCTTATGAAGACCAATTTCTCGTACAAGCCGAGATCGGGAATTGTACCATGATGTCGCTCTGAATAGGAATATTGTGTAAAAATTAGTCCAAACCATCTTGGAGTTTGTTTGCAACAAAAACAACCTCTACCTGGCCACCATATTCATCAGAGATGCTGACAAGAAAGGCATAAAATTGTAAAAGTAAAGAGTGAGCTTCTCTCCATGTACTGTGCCATACAATATTCGACGCCTTGGGACAAACTGACCCTCTTCAGTGCATGGCAAAAACAATTCTTTGGAAACTAAAAGTCCGCTATTTATTTTTGACTGCTAATCTTTTAACATCAACCAACCGCTATGATTCAGCCTTAGCAAAGTTTCGGGACAGCTACCAATTGGCTCAAACCCAAATCTTTGTGTCTCTATTGCCACCTGCATTTCCTGACAGACCAGTAACGCATCTGGCATATCAGATTCATATGGGTCTCGCCCAATATCGGCCTGAAGTTCTGCGGGATAGCGAAATGACTGAGCAATTAAAACAAGTACTTACACTCATTGCACACTGCATGGTTGGCAAAGCAGCTTCATAACGCCTTTCTATATTTTTTTTGCCACTAGAGGAAGTTATAGAGCTAGGTGGAGCTTGTTCATAAAGTCGAGGAGTGGGCTCGAATATCTGGACACGATCTGGGTAGATGGCATCCACGTTTCGAACTTGCTCTAGAATGTGGTCAGCGATTTCACGGAGGGCCTGCAAGCTGCTATCAGTCTTATGAAAGGTATTACGGTAATAAAAACGACAAATAGTTTGAACGGCACCTACCCTATTTACAATTTGTTTGCAATCAAACATCCAAGAATGCCTTAAAACTGACGTATAACGCTCTCCCTTTTCAGACAGGAAAGATGGTGAATTTCTAAATTGAAGACTCAATTAGAAAAGACAATTGATTCCTGATATATGGATGAAAGGCTATAAAATCATTCCAAAATCTAACAATAAGAAAAACATTTAAAAAAAAGAAGAAAGAAGTGGAATTTTGTGCAGACTCTACACAAAGTAAAACTCCCCACATACCCAGTGTGCTTTTCCACTACGTAGTCAAACCAACGCCCAGCTGTTGTTACGAACGCAGGGTTTACGTAATCTGGCGATCGATTACAGGTACTGAATAAAAAGATTTTCACTCATTAATAGCAGATTTGAAGAGAAGCGCTAGGAGCATCGCTACTTACGGTAGTACATAATCCATAGACATTCGGTCTAGCTCGGAAGTGAATGATCCACGTCGAGTTTCAAAAGAAAACACCTAAAATTTCCTTTAGAGAACATTTTCTTCTCAGGGATCTTAAAAACCTACCGAATTTGCTTTGCTTTTTACTGAAGAGTCCGCAGGAAGGTTAGGAGTCGACACAGCTGGCAATGCCTCAGATGAGTCGCGCTTTCGTAGCTGCTGACGTCGTTCCGAAGTCGTGGTTGGAGTCTTCACTGTTGAGATCGACCCTGCAATTAGTGCTGTAGATTAATTTTTTATTGAAAAAGTAGGAGTCCTGGCATATTAAGAAAAAACCCATTAGTAGAAAACATGATCAAAAAAGATATCTTGTTAACAACTTATTTAAAAACCCAAAGTACTAGCATACCATCCAAAGCTGTAAACCTACTTGCATGCGGACTAACATGCAGACCTGGGCTCACTGGTAGTTGGGCGCCAACTTCTATAACGTTCAGATTCAAAATCCCAAATTCTGTCACTACATCGCACATCCCCTAGAAATACACTTTATCATGTCAAAAAAAA